GATGTGGAGGAACTGGAGCCCCATCCCTGGCTGCGGGATTATCAAATGCACAGTCACTTTGGAAAACAGACTGGCAGTACTCAGATGACTAAGCACGGAGTCACCAGTTATATACCTGAGAGAAGTGAGAACATGTGCCCCTACAAAAACCTGGGCCCGGATATTCATAGCAGCATTAGTCACATGAGGCAAGACAGAAACAACCCGATGCCCATCAACAACGCATGAATAAGTGAAAGAATAGGGTAGAGCCGGACAGTGGGACACTCTTCAGCCACCCTAATGGATGAAGTACTGATACCTGTTACAAGGTAACTGGACCCCGAAGACATGATGCTTAATAAGAAAGCCAAGTGCACAGGCCACTAATTGTCTGGTTCCAGGTACATGAAATACACAGAGTAGGCAAATTCATAGACACAGAAACTAGACCAGGGTGGGGCTCAGGGGTTGGGGGATGGGAACTACTAATGGCATGGGTGTTTGGGTGTTAGAGAATATTCTGGAATTAGTTAATGGGGATCGATTCACAACTTGGTGAATACTAAAAATCATGGAGTGATACATTTAAAACATGAACTTTATGGAATGTGAATAACACCTCAATAAAGCTGTTATTTAAGATAATAAATGAAGTCCTTTAGCCAAATATATTTATAAATTGCCATAAAGACCAATTAGCACATGCTAGAAGGAGAGTCAAGAATTAAAAGGAGAAAGTAAAGGTAAGATTTCTTCTGTAACAAAGGGGGCACTGTCCCTGAGCTAGGGGACACTGTCCCTGAGCAAGGCCTAGACTGCATGCCACCTATTCCAACTGAGCTTTAGAACTAAAGGGCCATTGGGAAACACCAATTTCCCTGCTACCGAGTGTGGCGGTACAATAGTGCCAACGTCATTGAGACATCTCAAAAAATTCGAGTATAATATTTAATGGCAAAGTCCAAAGTCTAGCAATTTGTATCCCAGCTGGGGAGCCAAGAGGTGACCAACCCTCCTCCCTTCTGGGCCACGTGAGTCACTGTGGAAGTTCACCTCTTTCTGCACCCCAGCTCACACGTGGCACTCAGGCAGGCGTCAAAACTCACCTGCGAAATGAACGCCGGGCCAGCTTTCTTTCCTGTTCTAAAATCTAGGACTCCGCTAGATCCAACCCAGGCAATAGAACTCTGAAGGAGAAGCATGGACGTGTCTGAGTCCTTGAAGGGTTTGTATTCCTTTTAGTAGCCACCAATTACAAGTCAGAAATATGGTTAGTGTCACCATTAAATGATATTTATCTCACACTTACATGCAAGTTTGGCAGTGTGTTGAAATGGTCAGTAGAAATATGTACAAAGAAAACTGCCTCCTCCGGCGTCTTGACCTTTTAGAGGTCTGAGCTCCTATTTAAAATTGCAACCAGGGCTTGTCTCGGCCCAGTTCTGCTTTGCTTTTCCATGGCACTTACCAACTGCCAGCGGATGACCAAGTTTACTAGTTTATCTTGCTTATTATTTGCTGCCCTGGGAGCAGATTTCTCTGATTATCCAATACACCCAGCTCTGTGCCCCATCCAAAGTAGCCACCAACTTGAGGTTTGTTGAAATAGTTGAAGGAATAAGGCTTGGGCCCACTTTTTTTGTGGTTATTTTAACAACCAGAGTTTTTAATGAAATTCATGCCAAACAGGTGTGTGCGTGCATGCGTGCGTGCGTGTGCGTGTGCACACACGCACGTGCATCTGATCTTGGAGAAGTCAATCAACTTTTCTGTACCTGTTTCTTCCATCTTAGACATAGAGTTCCCCCTCTCCCTCCTCATTCTGTAAGATGCTTTAAAGTGCAGCAAGATGCAGAGGACCACAGAAACTGGAGGCTGTGCTGGGATTCATGCATCAGATATTCTGCCGTCATTTTTTGGCCCCAGGGATTGAGCCCACTGAGCCACATCCACAGGCTTTTATTCAGAGACAGGGTCACACTTAGTTGCTTAGGGCCTTGCTAAATTGCTGAGGCTAGCCTTGAGCTTTCGATCCTCCAGCCTCAGCTTCCCAAGCCGCTGGGATCACAGGCGTGCGCCACCACGCCCGGTTAGATGTTCTGCCCTCTTGGAACTTAAACTCTAACTGGCTTTGCAACATGCTCTTACAAACACCCCATCATTCAAGCATCACAACAGTAATTTAAAGTGACAGGAACTGTTATTTCCTCTTTTGAAGACATGGAAACAAGTTCAGGCGTGTTGATGCTTGCCAACGTCGTGTAAGGACCGAGTGGTCAAGCTGGGGCTTGAGCCGGTACCATCTCAGTTCAGGTCCCTTTCACTCAGCCTGTGTCACCCTATCACATAACTAGGGTGCATCTGGGGGCGCATTCAGGAAACAAGGAGCCCTCCCGCAGGGAGAGTGCAATCACCCAGTTCATTTGCTGATTGAACTGAGAGCATCTGTCTATTAAATTGTGGATGTGTCAAGTGGCCTAAAACCTCCTCGTGCTGATGGGTTTGTTTTGAAAATCAATTACTGTTTAAAAATGCCTCAGATCACATGGTTCTGTTAACCCTCTCTTCCTCTGGAAACAACTCTTTCTACCTCATCCCATGTTTGGAGCAGGAGCAGCCCTGTTCTTCCCGGGCCTGCCCCTGCCCCTGGGCTAGCTGGATAGGTCCAGGCCCGATGGATCTGACTTAAGCCAATCCGGAGTCCTACCTGGGATCAGAGGCCCTCAGGGAAAGCTCCAAGATGTCCAAGTCACAGGCTGGACAGTGCTCAGGCTTCCCCGCATGGAGAAGCAGGTCTGTAGCAACAGCAAAGAGAGCTGTGTGCAGAGGAAAGTCAGCCCCGTGTGTTCTGCAGGTGGACTGTGCACTTCCCACTCTGTCTCTTGATATCTCATTTTTTTCTTTTGAGTTTTGTTCTTTTGTTTGTTTGCATGGTTTATTGGTTGATTTGTTTTCTTCCCCAGAAGGCCCCCAGTAAATTCCTCTTTGGAGCCATCCTATTTCCCACTGGGAATCTGTTCCATGCAACTAAAAATTCAGCTCCCAAAACAAGTGCAAGAGGTTTGATTGGGAGAGCCACCCACAGCGACTGTGGAGCTGGGAATGGGATCCTAGCCTGTCATTCACGGACTTACTTTAAAACAGACTGATGCTTGTGGACTGTCTTCTAGCTAAAAAGTTTCTTAAATTTTGGGAGAATTCTCAATACATTCTCAATACAAACTCTCCTGCTTGGAATTCCCTTTGGCTCGGGTAGCAATGGTTTGCTAGAGGGGCCCCCTCGCAGCCAAGAGCCCACCTCTGCCAATACCCCAGGAAAGCTAGTGGAGATTCTTGAAAGGAGTGGGGTCCGCTGCTTGTCTCAGTGTTCGGAGGAGGCTTCGGAGTACCTGGGGAAGGCAGCAGCTGAGGAAGCATATGGCAGAGCAGACCAAGAAATGTTAAAGAGCCAAAGACAAGAACCAGCTTGTTTGTGTTCAGAACAACAGAGGAAACCTGGAGATTTGGTGAAGGGTCTCAGCATTATAAGGCTTTCTCAGCTGTATGATTATTTCTCTGCCTATTTTATAAGAGGCCTGAGTTTGACCAGAAATATCACCTCAGAAAGAAGGAAGAAGAAATTTGTCCTGGGTCTTTGGACTCTGGTTTTTGTCTGACTTGAGGTCCTGACAGGATGTAGATGGTGCATTCAAACCCGAGGTACAAGGGGACAATGGACAGGGCCCAGGGAAGACAACCAGGGGCCAGTAGGGACTCAGGGCCAATGAAGGTGGGAAGACTTGCCCCTGAGAGGTCAGGAGATGCAAGAGGAACCGCAGGCTCTTTCCAGAATTCAGAGACGGCAGCTATCTCGGGAGACCCGCCTGCCAAGAACAAGGTACTTCCCTTCCAGATAGTGACCTCGGCCAGTTGTTGTCCTGACTGACCTCAGCCAGAATCCTCAGGGCACAGAAGCCTGCAATGCAAGCCAACAGCCTGCGTGGGGCATGCACGGGGCAGGGTGGGGTCGTTTGGGGATAAGAGCAGGATGCTCAGAAGGAGGAGGCCCAGCCGGCAGCATCCTTAGAGGGGTGCTGGACAGAGACAGCCCTAACCTCCCAGGCCTGTTCTGGGCTCCACTTCCAACATCTGCCCTTTCTGCCTTTTAAACTCAACCCGCCCAAACCTGCCCCCTCACCTGGCTCTCAGCTCGAACCCTGCCCTAGAGCTCGGGGTCACTTATGTTTCTCCAGTCCTGCCCTTCGTCCCTCAGGCTTAAAACCCTGGGGCCCTCCCACTGCACCCTTGTGGACAAGCCCTGGCTGCTCAGCCCTGGCCCCGCTGGCCCCTCCATCACCACCTCCTGTCCTGTCCCCTGTCACTGACTTCCACCTGTCTCCTCCCATCCACTCCTCAGTGGCTTCCGAGCCACCAGTCTGTTCCTTCAATGTGCCTTTCGCACCTTGGCCTGATGAATCTGCCTAAAACTCCCAGGGGATTGTCACCGCCACACCTTCACCACCCAGCAGCCCCTCACTGTTCCCCTGCCCAGCCTCAATCTCTGCCTGGGGGAGGGGCTGCGCTTCCTCGAGTCTCCTTTGCGCTCCCCAAAGGTTCTGACCTTTCTCTCGTCCCTAGACTTGTAGCTTGGACCTTCCTGCCCCCTGTCACTGGAAGCCAGGCACCGGGGCTCTTTCGGATTTGCCCTCCCACGTTGTAAACTCCTGGGCACCGCCGTGCCCTGCTTGTGGCTGCGGCTGCTCCCAGCACCCGGCCGACAGCTGGCTCCTGTAGGTGTTTGATCCCCATGCTCCCAACGAGCGGATGGGACTGGCGCGTGGGAGTTTTATGAAGGCCATGTGTGCCATCCATTCCTTGGTCTGTCTCCCTTGTCGACACAGTGACACGGATCAAGTAAGCCCTAACGCGTCCCGTGCTGATTGTGGGGCATGTAACTAATCCTGCGATAGACTTGAAGTGCTTTAGGAAAGCACCTTTCAAGCAGCTTCACAGCACATTCAGGCGCACAAGGTCGGGGATGGATGTCTGGAGATTTATTGGATCGTTAAGTGGCCTCGGAAACAATAAGTGTTGTGTTCGTCCACTCGGGGAGGGAGATGGGGGACCTCACCCACCCAGTCTGGCCCATGTGAAAACCAGCCCTCGGGCTCCATGGACTCTGCGGCTCCCCAGGAGAGTACAGTGGAGGCTCGGAGCCCCTGCTGGGTCTGTGGACTCAGTCTCCAGTCCATGGTGGTCAGTGTGGGTGGGGAGGACGGGGCTGGGGGAGAAGCAGTCTGTCCCTTTCTTCCTCCCTGCCCCCTCCTCCCTCGCCGTCACCCTGCCTCCTGCACAAGGAACTATTGAGAAAGGACAGAACAAACGCTCCCTTATGCGCTCGCTCCCGGGGCGACTCGGGCTTGTCCGAGACAGCTGCCTGTAGCACGCTATGGTTACTCATTACCCTGCTGCCCGGGCAGGCAAAGGAGCAGGACTGAGCTGACCCTGGCTCACAGCTCCGGCCATAAATAAATAAATAAGTCAGGTGAACCAGGGGAGGGGGGTGGGGAGGGGAGCGCATGCTCCGTAGGAAGAGCCAGGGCTTCCAGGGGGCAGGGACAACCCAGGGAGGGAGAAAGGACAGAGGAGCCTTGTGCTGCTGGACATTAGGAGACACCCTGCTCCAGATCCCTGTCTTGGAACCAGGGCGCAGCCCGGGCCCCCTCTAGCTTGGCCAATGGGATCAGTCCCGACAGTTCCCTAAAGCCACCCATTCCTCCAAGGTGACCGAGCAGGAGACCCTCAGTCCCAGCTGCTCAGTCACCCAGCTCCCCAAGGACCCGCGTGGGGATGGCTGGGAGAACGATGTGCACGTGTGACCATGTGTCTGGTGTGTGCGTGTGACCTGTGTACACGCGTGCTCTGTGTGCTCTGTGTGACCACACTGGCTGAGCGGTGGCAGAGCAAGAAAACCACGGGAGATTCCAGAGAAAACCCCATCCTACAGCATCTCATGGGTGGACCTTGAGGAGACAAGGTGGCACTGGGAACAAGCTGTCTGCATTCACTTCCTGTCTCTGCCCTTAGTTGCTCTATGACCCGGGGTAAGGTGTTTGACTTCTAAGGTACCCAGTTTCCTCATCTCTATAAAGGGGTGATAAAATGCCTAACTATGGGTGACAGGAATAAGTGAATTGGCATAACACATCTAGCACTGGCACAGAGCAAGCACTCTGCAAATATGGCTCTTGTGATTATCACTTCTTCAGGAGAAAGTTCTTACTGGAGTCTAATCTAACATTGCCTGCTTCATTCCCTGCCTCCCAGGGGAAGCCATTCCCTGTAGAGCAATCCCCACCTCTACACAAAGGCATCCTCTTGACCCTAGCTGAACGTCAGCCCTCAGCACTCTATCCGGGCTCTTCCAGCCCAGACAGGGAGGAGAGGGGGAGCCAGCACACTGCCCGCCATGGGCCTGAGACCCAGCCCCTCCCTGGTGGCGCAGCCGACTGAGCCTGGCTGGGGTTGCCCGCCTGACATGGACAGCCGGCGCCTTCCTTCCTAGATCTCCAGATGCTAACGACAAAGTTATTGCCACAATAAAGCAATGACAGGCCCTATCTACACCAGTCACCCTTCACAACCGGTTTGCCCAAGCCACCCCTCCCTGCCTCCTTGTTAGCTCTGCCCCGGCTTATCTGCTGCTGGAGTCACAAGTCTTGGGTTTAATTGTGGCAAATTAATTATTGAACTCCTCAGCCAGCTCCTCCCAGGCACTCGGGGCCCCTCCCGTCCACAGCGCTGGGCGGGATCGCTGGCCAGACGGACCTGGAGTCGGTCCAGCCCGGGGACCGTCCAGTCCATACCGGGCAAGGGACCTGCCGGGCGAGGGACCTGAAGCCGCTGAGTGAAAGGCTCTTCCTCCCCAGGGACACGCTTCCGACCTCTGTCCATGCACCTGGGTGAAAGGCGTCTTTCCTAGTACGCGCCCACTGCCTTACCCTTGGGAATGGGTCGGTGCTGGGCCGACTCTCATCTGCTTGCTTCCGCTGAGCGGGGTGAGCACATGCCCGGTCGGTGTGGACGTGGTGAGGACTGATGAGTGTCCCCCCCCCCCCAGTCTGTTTGTTGTGTAACAGTCGTATCTACGCAGTAACCCACGGCATTCATTCACTTGATCACACTGAGGTGTGCAGCACGGTCCACTAATTGCACCCAGGTGTGGGCGCCACAGCCGCGTCTCCTCCTAAGAGGTGGCGGAAGGTGGTGCTGTTGCCGTCCCGGCCCAGCTTACAGAGCAGGAGACCAGAGGCGCAGGGAGTTGGCCTTCCTGGCTCAGGACCCCAGGGAGTGGCGAACCAGGGCTCGCTCCCAGGCCTCACCAGCACGCCTGAGCTTCGAGTTCTGCTGCTTCCAGGAGGACGGGCCTGCCGGATGTTGTCCACGGTCCCTGGGTTTCCATGGTGACTTTGCCACACACATGTGGATCCCCAAACAACGCGTGGCTCAGTCGAGCTTTTGGGTTTCATAAAGGTGGCCTTAAGTCACCCAGGGCCTGCAGCCCCCCGACCATGGCAGGAGCGTGTCCTCCTCCACCGCCTGCTCCCCTCTCCACCAGCACCCTGGGAATAGTCGGAGCTACTGGAATTTCTATTGAGAGGTATATCCTTTGCAAAGGGTTGTGGAGTTTACGGAACTGTTGCTCATCGGCGTCTCTTTGTGGCATGTCCTTGCTCCCTTCTTTTCCCAGCCATCTGGAAGACACTCTGCAACGAGGACCATGAAATGGGACCCGTGTGAGACAGTTTCTGGGCGTTTCTGGGAACACAGTTGGGCACCAAGATCAGCGTTTCCTGGCAGTTTCGTGGGGGCAGAACGCACTGTTGTGGTAAGAACGGGCTGGGGAGCCAGGCGGTCCTGGGCTGAGCCCCTGTGTGCCCCAGCAGTTGCACAACAGTGAACCCCCCAAACCCCCCGGCCCACAACAAGAGGCTTCCACTCCTACGCTGCGGGCCTGCCGGTGGACTGTGGTTCTGCCACGCAGGATGGACTCCGCGAGGCCCCTCTGCCTGAGGTCGCCTATTGGCTGAGCTTGGACTGGTCATCAGTTGCTGCATGACGAAGTCCCAAAAAACTCAGTGGCTTAAATCAACAATATTGGACTTCTCTTGATTTCTTTGGGCTGACTGGACCGTCTCCTGCTGGTGGTACCCCTTGGGCTCACCGCTGTGGCCCTCATCCCACCAGCCTCCCTCCCCTGTGCAGGGCCCCTCCGTCCTGTGCCATGTGTCTCTCACAGACTGACTTCCTCCCAATATGGTGGGCTCAGGGGTCCCTCAGAGGGAGAGTGCAGGAGGCTGGGCCTCCTAAGGGCTGGGTTTGGGGCCTTACACTCCCTTCTGCCTCGTTCTACTGGTTAGAACAAGTCACGAGGTGGCCAGCTCATGTGCAGGTTGAGGGGACAGAAGCAGACTCCACCCCCGTGGTGACAAAAGAGAAAAGCTCCCATTGCAAGGGGAGGAGGGTTCAGGGTGGCGTGACTCACCGTGGGGTCACACAGAGGTGACTGTAAGCACAGTCCAGCGCGGTTGGGCTCAAGTCCACTTCTGCTTTATCTGGAACCAGGGATGACAGGCCATGAGTGAGCCGGGATATGGTCTTCGTCGGGTGGACCACGGGAGCCCAAACCAAGCCAAACTGCACAAGCACCTCAAAGCCACAGCCGCTGTCATGGTCACTGACGTTCCATTGGCCAAAGCAAGCCACAGGACCAAGGCCAACATCACAGCGCAGGTGTGGTGGGAAGAGGTGTGTGTGTGTGTGTGAAGCTAAGCAATGATCCAAGCTTCAATGACCTCACTGTACCTCCTGAAATTGAAGACCTGGGCAACACAGGTAACTCATCCCTCATGGGACGATGGTAAGGCAAGATGACCACCTCGTCCCTATCTGCCTGGGACTCTGCTACTTTAGCACTGAAGGGCTTACGTTCCAAGGGTTCCCTCCAGTCCCGGGAAGGCAGGGAGCGTCGGGCCGTCCTGTTTTGAAGACTAGGTGAGATCCTCCCAATAGTCCCTCACTAGATGTGCTTATGGTGAGGAGCCCCTCTCTACAGAGGACAAGAGCAACTTTCTGGTGGCCACACAGACCGTCCAGGGGATAACCCACATCTAAACCTGGTGCTCTCCTGCACAAGTGGCCCTCTCCTGCAGATTCCCACACGTCCTGCTTCCCGGGACCTGGTGCTCGAGGTCTCCTCTCCCTGGTCCTCACAAGAGCCCTGTGTTGGGAGGAAACCTGAGGCCCAGAGCCCCTGTCAGTGAGCACATGGGCGCCCGATTCAGGCCGGAGTGCTGGGTACCCACAGGACACACAAGAGCTAGCCTGTAACCAGACAGGGCCCTTGAGAGGCAGGGAGGACGATGCCCTGTGAGGCCTCCAGCTGGCCTGGTCATTGGCCGCTCGGCTGGGAAGAGCTGATCCTCTGCACCTCCATGAACTGGGCCTCAGGCAAGTGGCCCGTCCTGACCCACTAGAGTTGGAGTCCAATCTCCCCTGGCCTCAGACTCACTGATGGTGTGGCTTGGAGCAAGCAGCCCTGGCCTCGACTTCTCCACTTACGTACGGCATGTTTTCTCTCCCACCCTGTGACGCCCTCTGCCATGTGAAGGTGCAGCAGGGGACCCTTGCCAGATGTCAGCTCCTTGATAATGACTTGCCATTCTCCACAACTGTGAGCTGAACAAACTTCCACTCATTATAAGTCACCTGGCCGGGCTGGGGATACAGCTCAGTTGGTAGGGTGCTTGTCCTGCATGCACAAAGCCCCGGGTCCAATCCCCAGCACCACAAAAAATAAAAAAAATAAATCACCTGGCCTTGGGTGCTTTGTTATAGCAACAGAAAACTCAGATAATCATCTCCCTGACTTCCCAAGAACCACTAGGAAAGTGAGCCAAAGAGTCTCCCTGAACTAGGAGGGGCCATTTCAGGTGACCTGGTCACCTCCTTTCAGGTGAACTCCAACAGAGGTAGTTTATTGTTATTTTTTTTTCCTAGATGAAAAAGAAAATGACAAAGACGAGGCACATGGTCACCGAATAGCATCCGATGTGCAATCGACCCCAGGGTCTTGCCTGTGTGCTATTAAAGAACCGCCCATCTTCTTGAAGCCACAGTTGTGCTGGACAGTGAATCAGGGGCCCTGCTCTCTGCTTCTCCCTGCTGTCAGGACACAGCCCGATGGGAAAGCAGCTCAGCTCAGTCAACAAAAAGGCACGAGTACTTACATACGGGACAGAGGAGGGTGGTGCAGACCCTGCCCGACACCAGTGAAGGGGCGAGTGGACTCCCTCGGTGAGACTGGTGAGGATGTGGTCATGATGCTATCCAGCACCAGGAAGACCCCTTCGCTCCCCAGGGAATCCCCACTCTGAGACCGGGGGCTGCCACTCCCATCATGTCCTGGGTTCCTTCCTCTTCCGAGGGCATCCAGAGGACAGGCACCTTCTGCTGGGGATGTTTCCTAAATCCTCAACATCTGGAAGGAGCTGCCACAAAGGCCCCCTTTGTGTAGCCAGGGAAATGGGCAATAAAATAGCGCCAGACCCCGCAAAGCTGGGCAAGGAGGCGCACGGTCCAGGGCCCTGGGAGTGGACACGGTGAGGTCGCGGAGAGGTGTGTCCGGAGGCACAGGTCAATAAATCACAGCATCGCTTATCTAGTGCTTCCTGTGTGCCGGAGGCTGCTCAAGGGCTGTGTCCACAGTGTCTCGTTGACAGGAAGGTTGGCAAGGTGGTCACAGCAAAGGGGGACGGTGCCTCTGAAATCACAGAGATGTGGGGACTGCAGAGGACAAAGCATGGGCAGAAGATAGAGGTATCAAAGTAACGTCTGCACAGAGTCGCCTGGCTGCCTCTTTCTATGTTAACCACCAACCTTCAGCACCCCGAAAGAACCATCTGGAACCCTCTATGGTAAAATGGGTCATCTCAAGTCCTGCAGAGAGTGATATGTAGAGGTCCCCAGTGAAGTCACACCTTTGTCCCTGTGTCCTACAGTGAGGTTTACCAGTTGTCAGGGACCCTCCCACCCCACCCCCGTAGGCAGAGTGTTCCGCGAAGCTTCACTTGCATTTCAGAAAAGTCCCTACTAGGAAAGGGAGAGATGGGAGTAAGAACATGGTGGGTTTGGGGGAAGAGAAGAAAGGATCCCGGGGGTAAAGACACTCCAGGGAGCAGAAGGACCAACACTACCCCCGGTTTTCATTGTCATCCTTGGAGAGAGAGAAAAAAAATGGCTACCTCTGTGACATAAGATCAGTAGTCCACAGGCAGACTTCTATGGCAACGAGAGCTTTGGAAAGTAAAAGTGCAACAGCAGAAAAGAAAAAGAAAAAACCAGTAGTGGAGCTGGAACGTGGGGTCAAGCAGGCCACGGACAGAAAGAGGTAAATGAAGAGGAATGATGAGAAAGGGGGTCCAACTGGGAGGTCTGAGATCCTACAGATAAGGATCCCCAAAGATAAGCTGAAAAAAGGGCGAGGGGAAGAAATTGTGAAACATAATACAAGGAAAGGAACCTGGGTTTCCAGGTTACACGGGCCGTGCTGGCCCAGTCCAGTCAACGAAGCAGCGTCCCACCAGCACCTGTGCCCTGAGATCTCCTCATGCCGCCTTCCTGTCCTCAGCGGGCAGGTACCCCACATCATTCTGACTCACCCTCTGTCTCCTTTTTCTGCTTAGAAGGGCCTTTGTGGTTATCTTGGTCCAAGGGGGAAATCCAGGGTCCTCTTATTTTGAGGTCAGCCGGTGAACAACCTGAATTCCTCGGCCCTCTCCATCCCTCTCTGCCAGGCACCAAGGTGTCCAGGTGCTGGGGATTCGGTGGCAGACATCTTCATCTTCTTCAGGAAGCCCTTGTTCTGCAGGTTGCAACTTTGCATAAAATCTGGGTCATCTCCTTGAGGATCAAAGGGAGAGTGGATGTTAGGAAGGATCGCGGAGTAGACAGGAGGAGGGAGGGCAGGGCCCCTGGAGCCACCTAGAGCCATGCTCCCATCCCAGGCTGAGCCTCTGTATCACCACCAGGGAAAGAATCCTGGCTCGGGCCAAGCCACCTTGGGGGAGCTTCTGTTCCAAGAAGTCAAATGAGGCCTAAGGAAACTCTCACTTTTTAAGGTACGAAGTTAACAATATTTGAACTCAAAACGGGAAGAGATACCAGGCAAGCACAGAGTTGGGAAACAACCACCAACCTCACCTGAGATATCTGTGGATTTAAAGAACTCTGAACTTAAAGAAATCACCTTGGGGCGCATCTTCAGAGAGAGGGAAAGAAGAGGCACATCACGACGGCCTGTCTCTAGAATCTCATGGTGCGTTGGACTCATTAAGCTTTGGAAATCTTTTACTTAATAAGAAATACGGTTTTTCATTTTAAGATGACAGACACGGTTCGGAGCGTCTGAAGAAACCCATCCGAAGGTACAAGGAAAATGCCTGGCGACGCGACCCCTGGCTGTGTTGTGGGGTGACAGGGTCAGCCTGGGAGAGTCCAAGGGACCTTCCCCGTGAGTGTGCCCAAGGCCCTTCCTGAGCTACAAAGTTCATGGCCAGAATCCCATTTTCCATCCCTCATAAGACCCTGCTCTTAGGAACAGAGCTTGGAAGGAAGTGCGCAGGACATTCCTGGGGCCGCATCTGCTCCCCGAAGCCCCGCCGCCCCGCCCTGGGGAACACAGCTGAGATCCTTATCGCCCCCAGCTCTGGCACACTGAGCGTGTGATACACCTGTCTCCACCATCAGGCAAATGAGTGGGTTCACAGGCAGAGGCCTGCCCTGCCAAACAATGCTCCCCTTTGTCCCCGCCCAGAGCTCAGGAGCCGCAAGGAAGCCACATCCGTCAGCACCTGTCAGGGCCCTTGAAGCACACAATGCCTGCGGTGACCCCCACCCCGAGCCGAGCCCCAGGCTTCCCGCAGGCTGCTCTAACTGACACGCAACGTGTCAGTCACCTTCTGAAAGCCAGGGGTGGGGCCGTGGAAGGGGGGCACTGGGCCTGCCTCCCAGAAGCCAACCAGAGCCAGAGACGGTGCTGTGAAACCCTGACACATCCTTTCTTAAACCCAGCCCCAAAGAGCACAGCACGAAGAAAAATCATCTCCCTCATCGCTAGAGATGTAGAACATTTTTTCATCTATTTATTGACTGATGGTATATCCTCTTCTGAGAAGTGGCTGTTCAGTTCCTTGGCCCATTTATTGATTGTGTTCTTTGGGTGTTTTGTTATTGTTGTTGTTTTTGGAGTTAAGATTTTTGAGTTCTTTATATATCCTAGAGATGAGTGCTCTATCTGAGGTGCATGTGGTAAAAATGTGCTCCCAAGATACAGGCTCTCTATTCACCTCACTGATTGTTTCTTTTGCTGAGAAGAAGCTTTTTTGTTTGAATCCATCCCATTTATTGATTCTTGATTTTAATTTTTGTGCTAGAGGAGTCAGAATGGCAGCTATTAAGAATGTGAACAACAATAAGTGTTGGCGAAGATATTGGGACACTCATACACTGCTGGTGGGACTGCAAATTAGTGCAGCCAATGTGGAAAGCGGTATGGAGATTCCTTGGAAAACTGGGAATGGAACCACCACTTGATCCAGTTATCCCACTCCTCAGTCAATACCCAAAGACACAAACAACATACTACAGGGACACAGCCACATCAATGTTTATTGCAGCACAATTCACAATAGCTAAACTGTGCAGCCAACCTAGATGCCCATCAGTATATGAATGATAAAGAAAATGTTACACACACACACACACACACACAATGGAATACTATTCAGAATTAAAAGAGAATAAAATCATGGCATTTGCAGGTAAATGGATGGAGCTGGAGAATATAATGCTAAGTGATGTAAGCCAGTCCCCCCAAAACCAAATGCTGAATGTTTTCTCAATAAAAGGAGGCTGATTCATAGTGGGTACGGAGGGGAGCGTGGGAGGAATAGATGAACTCTAGATAGGACAGAGGGGTGGGAGGGGAAGGGAGGGGGCAGGGGATTAGGAAAGATGGTGGAATGAGGTGGACATCATTACCCTAAGTACATGTATGAAGACACAAATGGTGTGACTCTACTCTGTACAACCAGAGATATGAAAAATTGTGCTCTCTGTGTATAATATGAATTATAATGCATTCTGCTGTCATATATAACAAATTAGGATAAAAAAAATTAAAAAAAAAAATCATTTCCTATGTTGGCAGAAACTCTTTTGGCTATTTAGCAAACATGGTGTGAACCAGGGTGGGGCACAGGCCGGGCTCACGCGGCCAACACTCTGAAGGACAGACGAGGGAAGATGGAGGTTGGAAATGGGAGTCCCCAAGTGAGACCCCCCTGCCACAGGGACACAGGTCAGAAGGGGTGACCTCCTCGTCTGGAGCCAGTGAGGTGGCAGGCTTTAGGGGGGGTAGGTTGCAGCCGAAGAGAACCTGGGAGCAGACTCCGTGGTCTCTGCCCACGTCCTTCTGCAGAGTGCTCCAAGGGTCCTGCAGACCAGGAAATTACTAGCATTTTCCTTGGGCAAACAACTTCCCCTGCAGACACCAGGATGGACCTTGGCACTCAAAGCAAAAGAAACGAGAGGATGGAAGAGGAGGGTGCAGTCCCCCCAGGCGGGTCCTCGGCATTTGCCTGGGTCCCAGGGGCAAGGCAAGTCCAGAGCTGTGGGTAGTGCTGGTTCTGCCAAGCCCCCTGGCTCCCACATCCTATGCTGCACTCACAGGCTTATTTATGGGAACAAAGTGAGCTAACAAATGAGTTTAAAGAAAAGCATAAATTCCCTTAGAAATACAGGATATCTGAGCCAAATAATATTAAGTAAGATTTTATTGCTTTTGGCTAAAGGTCACTGTTTAACTAAAAGGAACATAATAAAATATATGCAATAGAGAACTTCAATAAATTACAGTAATACAGTAAATTATAGTAAATTTATACAGAAAATTACAGTTATATAGTAGATTATATAATGTCACTCTGTATGTGTATGTGTATGATAATGGTATCAGAGCCATGGAAAAGAGCAATCCTTTCTGTCTTTGTCCGTTTTCTGTTGCTATAACAAAATACCAGAGGCTGGGAAACCAATTAAGAGTAGAAAGAATGAAAAGTCCAAGAGTCTGGTGCCTGTATCGGCTGGGCTTCTGGCCAGGGCCTTCTTGCTGCCTCAACACATGGCAGAGGACATCAGTGGTGGAAAAGAAGTGAACCAGAGAGAGCCTGCTTTATAATGCAGCCACTCCGAGATAATCTATTCATTCATTCACAAGGGCAGAGTCTTCATGGCCCAATCATTTCCCAAAAGTCTCATCTTTGAATATCATTACATGTGACTTCAGGGATTAAGTTTCCAACACTCGAGATTTGGGGACACACTGAAACTATCGTCCTTCCCTCTTCAGCATACAGGCTGGCCTGTTTATGAGTGAAATGAAAGGATGTCTTTTTTTTAATCACAGGGGGAGGTAGGGCAGGGCTGGCTGGGGTGGTGATCACTGCACTGGGTGGTGGGTTCAAGAACAAGACACTGTGCCGTTTTACTTCAGTGCAGATTTGAAATTCTCCAAAATAAAAAGTGGAACACAAAGGCATTTGAAAGATCAAAGCGGAGTAAAGCATAAGTCTGTGAGTGCCTGGGCTTAAGGAATACACCGTGAAGCCTGTGATAGGAACTGGCTTTGCTTTCCAATTGAAGTGACTAAAATAGATTTGGTTTTGCTTTTCAGACACAGACAACAAGAAGGTGAGTTAGTTCCAGTTAACTATCGTTGGACAAAAACCCCACTCACCGTTACCGGTAGGATTCCAGCAGAGAACCTAGTAACGTTGACTCTAAAATACTTCTTGAGTCGTACCAGATTTATATCCTCAAATCAGAGACCAGGCGGAAGGTCCTCTGACTCGCAGGCAGCTCCCGAACACAGAACACGTGTTGATCAGGGTGTGGTTTACAGGAAGACTGCCAAAATGTTCACATGACAGAAGGAAGAGTGGCCAGGGACAGGGGCTGGCAGCAGGCATGTTTAGTCATCCAAGACCCCAAGGTGCAGCAGCCTCCCAAACACCCTGCAGGACACGGCTATCCTGTTGGCCTGCTGCTTGGGGGAGCTGGGATTGCACTGTTAGCGGGTGCACTGCCCACGCTCATGTCACCACGGAGCCTTGCTTCTTGCTTCTGTTGACCGCACACCGTGCTGATGTTAAGACTAGGAGAGAAACATCCAGTGGGACCCTCACAGCCCCTGTCGAGGTGCCCTTCCTTCTGCGGACAAGATCCTAATCTCCTTCTCAACTTGTTCCAGCTTCAAACACCCTGGGACGGCTGCGTCCCTCTTTCTACCTGCCAAGAGAATCTGAATGCCGTATGGCGCCGACCAACTTAGGGGCCGTGGGCAACACGGGAAGTGGATGATGCCCTGAGTGGCAGGACACCAGGTGCTCGTGGTAACACCCCCAGGGGCCAAACAGGTGGCCGCAGCCTCCCTGACCAGCAAAGGAGGCAGGAGATGGCAGCTGAGCTCGGGTGCTGGGGGCAGCAGCCTGGGCAGAGGAGGGGTGTTTGCAAGGCAGCCCTGCGCCCTACCTGTTGTCTGCACCTTCCCAAACCACAAAGCCCTCCAGGAAGCTGCTGCCCGGGCTGATCCCACCTGCCATGCTATTGGCCTTGTCACCTCCTACCCATACAGGGTTCCAGGGATGCTGGTGGCTGTGGGTGCCCTCGGGAGGAAATCCACTTCTTCCTAAGCCGAGTCGCTGGCTCTTTCCCCCCCGCCCCCCGCCCGGGGCCACGCATTCTCAGAGGGTGCCGATGGCCCGTCCGCATCCCTGTGCACTACCCTCCCTCCCTCGTTAGCCAGTTCTTCCACCCCAGCCCCCAACCTCATGGAGAAGCTGAACCATCCTGTGCTTCAAAGCTGGGAAATGCGTATTGAGAGTGGCGGAGCTCATGGAGGAGCACAGCTACAGCCGACCTTCCCTTTGACCTCAGAGGATGTACCTCTGGGTCTGTCACTGCTTTCTAGCCCCTGGGTCTACCAGGGACTAACGGAGGTGGCTCTGTGCCTGGCGAAGCTGTGAGGATGACAGTGAGAAACTGGCACCATGTTTTCTGGTGTGGAAAAAGAGGATCTTACTTCTCGGTGCTGCCAACCTGACCGGCTGCCAGGAGTGCTACATTGAACAGACACGCACACCTACATCACCTGCCTTCCAGACCGGCCCAGGCGACTGGGCGAGGAAACAGCTCCCAGGAGGGAAGACAATGTGGGTTCATGAACCTTGCTGGTTTCCAGAGCACGATCCGTTTTAATCTCCACCCGAGGACCTGACAGCCAATTCTGCCAAAGCTCCCTTCCCACTCCAGTCTGGGCTTCAGAGCAGGAGAACTAAGACTTTAGTGTGACACACAGGGTTTTGTTGCGTTATTACACAAGCCTATTATATGAGTTTCAAATAACTATGCACAGCTTGGGGACCTATTAGGTCTCCATCCTCTTGTAGATTTTGAAGTGGGACCGCTTTGGTTTTTCCCCACGTCCCATCATCCCTTTTCTTCCGACTTTTTCCTGCAGAAAATAGCTGAGGCTGAGTAGCCAGTGTCCCTGAATTTGTGTTATTGAGGTTGACTTGTAAAAGTTTCTGCATCAAAACAGAAGTGACCACAAGGAAGGCATCCCTGCCACATCCCAAGAGCGTCTAAGTGGAAGTGGGAACTTGAACGGGAAGCGTTCTTGACTCAGCCCCGCTGTGCTAAGGAGAGAAGATGGGACAGGAGGGAAGGGACACAGAAAGTGGACATGCAGATGCCCACCTCTCGATGTCACTGGGTCATGCAAAGAAGCCAAGAGTTGGCCACAGCCTTGACCTGCCGCTCTGAGGAATCAGCCTGTGGGAACCCCAGGATCTTTTCACAGCCACTGGGAGCTGCGAGTGCCTAGCAGCCGGGGGAAACCTAGCCTAGGAAGCAGGTGTCCTGCTGTGGACTTCCAGGGGAGAAAGGCCTCCAGCCGGGGTGGGCTTGGCAGCAGATCCCTCCCAGTCAAGTGCCAGAGGAGCTCTCAGGCCCGCCGGCACCTGGATGCAGCCTTGAGACCCTGAGCAGAGGACCCAGGACAGTCAAAGTACCGGCCCAGAGAAACGGTCACGCAGGTCACTTTTATCTGCTAAATTCACGATAGTTTGTCACACAGAAATAAAAGACAAATTCCATGGCCGTCTCCCACCACGTGACCAAACATGAACAGTGTCCACATGGAAGACGGCGGTGGATTCATAGTTTATTTAAGAGCCACCTTTCCTTTAATGGCCATATTGTAGGTTCGTTAGGGAATAAAATAATTCCATTTCCCATAGTTTCCCACTCAGTTCAGTGAGTATTTTTCATAGAAAGAGTTTTGGAAACAGAGCAGGTTCCCACTGCATCAAGGTGTTGAGCGACCTTAGATACATGTGCTGATCTTAAATTGGGTCATTGTTCGTTCCTACGGGACACCTTCCAGGGTGGGCTGGTGACCAAGGTAGGCTGCAAACAGTGTACCCTGAGCCCCCCTAAAAAGTCAACTCAGAGGGGACCCCTCTAGCACCCCCAGCTGCACAACTATGGAGTGGAACCCCAGCCTTGTTAAGGGCTCCCCCAGGTGACGGTCCCACTGTACAGGTCAGTGTCCCATCACTCGGACAACCAACCTGGAAGGAGGAAACATTTATTTTGGCTCATGGCTCAGCTGTACCAGTCCCCGGTTACTCGGCCCTGTTGCTCGGGGGCTGTGGTGAGGCAGAGCAGTGTGGTGGGCAGAGCAGAGCAGAGCCGCTCACCCGTGGCAGCTGGAAGCAACGAGACTTCAGCGCAAAGGTCTCTGTGTGTTTGTTGTAGTACAGGGATGGAATCCTGGGCTGATCTATCACTGAGCTGCAGCCCCAGCCGTTTTTATTCATTTTGAAACAGAGGCTGGCCTC